AGGAACAATCTTGTAATGTAAATTAAAACGCTGTAAGTATCGATAGGTAGGCTAATATAAGTTTTACATTATTATTATTATGTTGGAGCCCAAGGCATTATGTAGGTGGTGGGGTGGGCGCCGATTGGCTAAATGAATTGGGCTCTTGAGTTTTGTAATTTTAGGTAAGCTAGGACCGTAATGTAATGAATAGGTAAGTTAAGGCTACGTTGTAACACATACTCATTAATAGATTTAGGGTTTAAGTTTTATATTATTATTATTAAGTTGGAGCCCAAGGCATTACGTAGGTGGTGGGGTGGGTGCCGATTGGCTAAATGAATTGGGCTCTTGAGTTTTATAATTTTAGGTAAGCTAGGGCTTAATTGTAATGAATAGGTAAGTTGAGGGTACGATAGCCGATTGACTCTGGATTTCAAAGTCTCTTGTCAGAGGTAAGCCTTGGTGGCCAGTGGTGAACCGGCAATGGTTTACTATCCGGACGGCAATGGTTTACTATCTGCACGGTAATGATTTACTATGCGGCACGGCCATAGTCTACTACCCGCACGGCTTCCGGACGGCAAATGGTTTACTATCCGCACGGCAATAGTCTACTATCCGCACGGCAATGGTTTACTATCCGGTGCCCTGGCTGTCGGTGAACCTCTGTGCAAGGAGGGAGAATGAAGGGGGACTTTCGACTATCGTATCACTAATAATTTAATACAAATTAGCTAAGGCAATTGAATAGGTAAATAGGATTATTTTTATTAAGCAATTTGAGATGCAGGCACCGCTAAGTTTTCTGATAAGAATTTTCTCTTTCTCCATCAACACGGGTTGTGTTTCAACAACAATCTCGAGGAGGACTGGCACCAGTTTTGGAGGACAACGTAGGAACCGAACCGCATTCAACATTCTGCCTTTATCGAATGGACGACGGTAAGTTTTTTTTACATTTTACTTTTTTTATTATTTTAAAATATTATTTATTTGTCATTGTTTCCATTTTATAATTTTTTGCTCCTAAGATTCTAACATTCATTTACTACTAAGCTAATAAAAAAAATTTGTCTACAGGATAATGAGAGGTGGGCAGTGGTGGGAGTCAGCACGTTTCAGATGGTTGTCTCATGATGATTTACGTATGATGATGGTGGTGTTGGAAGAATCAGCGCGTTGGCTGTTCGACTGACAATCAGAAGTTCGGATGANATCATGTGTGCCGACCAGATGGTGGTCGGTGCAATGAAGTACTGAAACGACGATNTTTGAACTAAGGTTTAGTAGTTTCGTCTTTTAATTTTTCTCATTGATTGATTCATTCATTCATTCATTCATTCACGCATTCGTTCATTCA